TAAGTATATATTTGGAACAAGGACACGATGAGATGTACTGCCCTGCTTAATGTCCTTGCCTGGCTGTGCCTTGCTCTCTTCCTGCATTAAGGGTTTTATTATGTCTCCTTGTCAGCAGAGATAATTGCCTGCAAATGTCCGCAAGCACACCTGCTACCAGACACTTTGCTATTAAGGTAATTCCAAGAAAATGAAAGCTTCAGCAACCATGCCAGCACCAGTTATTAATCCAGATAAGCCACCTTCCATGCACTGAGGACATGACCTGCTTGTGTTTCAGTCCACCTACCTCCTCTGACATTCTGCAAGATTAGTGTTTCTCTGGGAGATACTGCGCCCACCTCTTCCTGATTTTGTGGTGGATCTGGTGACTTAGAGATTTTTTTTTCCCCCTTTCCACTCACAAGAAGTGTCCACTCACAAGGAGTGCATATTGGGGTCTGTTTCATTAGCAGCTCTGGACAAGTTGGTACAGGTGCCAAGGTACTTCATGCCAGTAAACATCTTTCTGTAGGGCAGGAATGGTAGAGCTCACCAGGTAGGGCAGTTGAGGCAGTGGGTGCATGTACATAGCATCACCTTTCTGTTGCTACCCAGACTTTGCACAAACCCACTGTGAAACAACTAAGGATGCCCTGCTTCTGCCACTTGCTCTCTTCTTCCACCGTGCCTGGTGGTGCCTGCAGAGCTGACCTTGCCTCTCTATGTTTAGCTGCCAAGTGATACCACAAACAGATAGAAGTGGTGTCAGCTGTGGTGCCAGCTGGGACAAACTGGCCTTGCCTGGAGGATGGCAGTGCAGGCAGTGTGCCTGAAGGAGCATCATATGGGCATTAGCCCCTCACAATGCTTTTTTCTGTAAGCAAAGCCCACTTCTGTCAGGGGTGTGATGGGTTACAAAAATACAAATGACTTACTGAGATACTAATTAAGATGAGTGTTATAGATGACAATACGGTATTGGCTTTCACATTTATGTATTAGCTTTTGCCTACTATTAATCACAAATATTTTGATATGGTACAATTTGTATTTCCTTTTAACTGCTTTTTGTTATAGTATAATCTGTCAGTTTATGTATGCACCATATAGCTTATATAAATAGTAGCGTGATAAGTATATCTTAGGTCGTAGCGTAATATTGAAATAGAGACTATGTGAGGTTAAAATGCTTTTATTCATGTAACTAACTCAGAGAATAGTGTAAGATAATTAGGTAGTTCCTGATATTTATGGACTGTTAAAAAGGACTGCAATATGATATTGGCTTTTGCATTTATATATTAGTTTCTGCATTGATCATAAGTATTTAGATATAGTATCATTTATACCTTTATTTAGTTTTTAGTATAACATAATCAACCAGTTTAAGTATGTACTGCATAGCTTACAGAAGTAGTGGGGTGAATATATGATATTATAGGCCTTAACTAAACACTGGGTGTTAAAATACCTCTATGTAACCAAAACAAATGGTGTAAGTCAATCATGTTACCCGCCTCTCCGCTGTCTTATCCAAGTGATAAGATAACTGTGACACAAACCAGAGCTCCGGACGACAATTAGAAACTACCATGTTAAATTTAAAGAGGACATACAACAACAGGATGGAGACACAAGAAGGAATAAACCATATTGACTTAACACACAGGATGTCATGCAGATAAACCAGAGTACGAAGAAACCAAACAGAAGAATTCCCGTAACATCAAACAGTTGACAGGAATGTGTGAATAATGTATGGACTTTATGAATATGCATGCGCCTCTGTAATGTAACAGTATAAAAAAACACTATCAGGGACTACTAGCATGTTCTTTGGCTGTTTGCCAAGAGCACCCCAGCACTGAACTTTTGTCTCTTATTTTATTCTCTATTAAACTTTTTAAGAATTCTGAAGCATTATTTCATCCTTCACATGAGAAAAGGTGAAAATCCCAGGAATACACAAAACGAAGCCTCAAAGGAAGAACCTGAGTCACATCATGACTGTTTCATTCCAGGGCTGTGGATTTACTTGTAGGTGAGGGTCCTTTCTGCTGCCTGAGCATTATGAGGCATCAAAAGGCCTGAGACCTCCTTGCTCTGAGCATCACCTGCCTCCATTGGTGTTGGGGCATCATTGGTGACAGGAATTATTTTGGATGCTGGACAGTGTGAGGAACAGAGAGGATAGGAATGTAGAGGAAACCAGGACAGTAAAAACAGGCCTGAGGACAAGAAAGATTTGGCTCCACCATGCTTGTCCCAGCTCTTCTCAGGACAACATCCTGGCATGTTTTAAATAGGTTTTTTGCAAAACAGGTGATAGTGGTGGGAGAAAGCTGCCCAGGTAATTTCTTCTTGGAAAAATTGCATATTAACAATCATGAACTTTTAGCAATTCCTTTTTTCAGTCAGTTTCTGGCAAAAGCTTTGCTGAAAGTTGTTCTTCTGAGTGGAAAGTAAACTGAATTTTAGGGAATAATTTTTCAAAAATTCACTATATAATATAACAGAAAATGAGTTTACTTACACTTCTGACTGAGTCAACACTCAAACTAATTTTTCTTCAATAGTCTTGTGTTTTGTAAACTTTAGTGAAACTCTCTAGAGCTAGTTTTGGCTAGCAGTATGTCCTAGTGCCAGAGGATCAGACTACAATATCTTAGTTCTTGAAAATTGGCAAGAGTTGGTCTCTGCTTCGAGAGGCAAATTCTGACCAGCAATAGGGCATAGTATCAAGGCACGCAGGCAGTACATGACAAGAGCAGGTCCAGATCTTCACAGGGAATTTGACAATTCTGGGAATAATTTCCCTTTTCCTTCATACTAGTTAGCAGCAAAGAATAGGAAATAAGCGTGGGTGAGGAGCGGGCAGTGGGAGCATTTTTTTCACTGTTACCATGTTACCATACAGTGCACTAAACCATTCACAGAAACACTGAATTTGTAAGGTTGGAAGGCATCACCGGCAGGCTCATCAAGTCCAACCTCCCTGCCTACAGTGTCCCCTAGAGGATGTTACTCAGGGTTGTATTCCTTCATTTTACAGCAAAATTAAACTGGGAAAGAAGGAAGGCAGGAACTGGAGGGAAACACATCTGTTATATGTCCTTTTAGACATATTAATTGTAACAGATTTTTAGGTCAGTTTTTTTTTTTGCTCATCATTGCTGGTGCACAGGCAAAAAGTGCTTGCAGACAACCCAAAGGTTGCTGGGACACCTCTTGTTCATTCGAAGTTTCATTCTTTTGCAAAACTGTTGTTCAAACATTGTATGTGGAGTGTTTTAATCTTACAGGATGCCGGTAACTTCTCTGACTACCCTCATATTCAGCTAACAAGAAATGGTTTATTTTGGATTTGATGCCTCAGAAGCTATACTGTAGATTTACAACTAATTACTACTACTTCATCATCCTGCCAAAAAAACGCCCCCTTGTCCACACAATATATATGTTGTTCAAACCGTGATGTGAAAATTTGCATAAATAAGAGATGAAGGGAGGAAAAACATCTCTTCAGGGCTAAAATCTGTAGTCTAGCTCTCTGTACTCCTTGCCGGTTTCTGGCACAAATATTTATTTCTCTGATACATGTGTTGACAGAAAAGGAATTCCTTGTTTTAAAGGGAAATTCTGAAGTCTTTCCAGGGAAGGAAAGTTTGAACTCCGTTTTAACATGCACATTGATTTCTCCTTGTCAATAAACACTCCAAATGCAACTACTTGTAAAATAAAGAAGTAATAGTGAATGCTTTTTTCAGCACTATTGGTAAGGCAGTGAAGTACTTGCTTGTGGTTACACAGTAAGGCAACTTGCCTTCATTCCCCCAGGCAGGACGGTGGTGGATATATAACACGTTCTCCCTGCTCAACCCAGTCATATACCATCAAGACCTGCTGTGGTACTGAAGGATTGAAAATCCTCCTCTTTACAAATGTCACTGCACTTGAGGAAGGGATTAAATGTTAGCCAGCAGTAGGGTAAGAAAACACACACCCATAGAGCAAAGCTATGAGCACCTCTGTGTGTATGGATGCATGTTCACTCCTCAAAAAAAGTCTAAATGTCTTTTTACAAACTCTCTATCTCAAATCTAAATTTTGGAAACATCCCACATGTGTCTCTGTGACTTGGAGCCTACACCAACTTTGTTTTTTGCAGGATGTGTTTGACCTTGTTGTTTTTCATTGTTTGGCAGGCACGAACGTCTCAGGACAATCAACGTTGTCAACTCCTTGGCTATCTGCAAATTTCTTTTGTTTCCAGTCTAAAATTTTAAGGCTCTAATCAGGTTAAAGATGAATGAAAATCCCCTCTCCTGAGCTCACACCTTCAGTGTTGGCATTATGCCTCACTAAAAACACCTTAATTCTCTGGGGAGGATGACTTCCTGGGACTGCTGTGGGAGAAATTTTAAGTAATAATGTCCATGTGCAGTGTTTTCTAACTTGAGAAGATGGAAAGTTTGGTTCTTTATTGGAAAATTTGACCTTCTTTTGCTGTAATTTATGAAGGATCATTCTTTTATTTAAATGCAGCATTCACCAAAAGACTGACAAAAAAAATTTTAAAAAATGGAAAAAGCCTAACTGGCAAGGACAACAGACTGTGCAGCCTGGAGATTAAACAAGGTGTCAAAGTAAAGAATGGCATTCAAAACATCTTGTGACCAAATGTATCAGTAAAGTGTAAGGAAACTTGATCCTGAATGGAACGAGAGGGCTCCAGACATACACAGCTCCAGGTCGTTTGGATTCACGTTGTGCTGTAGATGAAAAATCCTTGTCTAACAAAATTTTAAGCTCACTGGAAGACAGGCAATTTCTTTACTCTGTGCATACACAGAAGGTAGCACTGGGACATGGCAAGAGGCAAGCAGTACAGCTTGAACACCAGTAATGACAAGCAGCACTGCAGATCATCACTCAACCCAAACTACAAAAATCAACTGCCAAAGAAGGTAGTTAAAATACTATTTTCAGAGTAACAGCAAGACCATTAACACAAAAGATACTGAGCAAACTGACACACTCTTCAGTCTTTTTATTAGTATTTATTGTTGTTATTGTTATTCACACTTAGACAACTCAGTTACATTAAGTGACTTATATGAAGAACTCTGTATTAATATGATAAGGTGAGAAAAGTGTACACACCACAGTGAAACATTCTGTAGATAGTGAAGTAGGACCTTGATAGAAGGGATTATTTCCAAGAGCCTATGTACAAATAAAGGTAACTTTCATACTATATACAAACTTATATTCAAAGAGAACGTACTGATTCAGAGACACAAGAGTTTCATCTAATGAATAATGATCCATACACTTAAACACATGAGAAAAACTTGAATCTTCAGGGGGTTGCCTGGACTTGCAAAATTAAAAAAATACATGGCAATGTATTTTTACTTTTAAAGTTTAAAATGAGTAAAGATGGGGAACTTCAGATTTTTCTTACAATAGGCTGAAAATGAGGGGTCATAAGAATATGAAAACTACAAAGTGAAACAAATGTGCTAAAAACACTTTATTACAAAAATAGCATCTGATTGTCAGTTATAACACACTACTATTTTCACATCACAATACCATGTCCTGATCTTTCCATCTTAAGTGACAGAAATAATTTTAATTCATGTAAGTCAACTCCCCAGAGTCAGGATTGCAAAATTAAAACTGCAACAGAGATCTTGATAATGGAAATGAACACAAAACCAAGTGAAACCCTTTGGCATTACTTAATTTTGATAAGGGATTAAAATAAATTATTGATTTCTATTGGATAACCTGACCCTGAAAACTTCTTGAAAAACTGACAGAAGCAACTCAGAAACTTACTAAAACATAAGGAACTTCCTTTGCTGTGATCTCAGAGTAGCAGAATGATTTAATTGCTTCATTGGGCCTGACTCTGCAAGCATTTTATTCCTTCTCCTGGGGTGAACAAAGGTAGCAGGATTGAGTCCCTACTGCAAAGGTGCAGCATTTTGTACAGCCCCACAGGAAAACTCAAGAGTATGAGGAGCAAACTCCCCTGACTTATTCACAGCATCACTAAGGCAAAACCAGATCCTGCTTTACTGTACATTTATTTGTCAGTATTTGACATTATACCTCAAAAAGAGACATGGAATTAATTCTTTACTTTAAAATTAATGATCCCCTTACTTAGAAACCCCATACTAGTCTTCTGGGTTTTTTATGGCTTCTTTTTACATTAAGACAACTATGTGACATAAAATAAAAATAAAAATAAAATAGTAAAGTGCACGGTCTTTAAAAACGTGTACAAATTTCATTGTTGGGATTGGTTTTGTGTTTGATGAGTGGTGAATTTACAATAAATCTACATGAATGTACAGTTCATTTACCAGTCTTGAATCACTCAGTCCTGTCCTGGGCTGTTTCACTTATGGCTCATGTAGGAATGATATGGCCAATTATGTGTCTGGATTACCCACACTCCATGGGATTACATGGCTTCTAGGCTGGGGCTGACCTAATCTGACTTCTGGAGAAGACACACGGCTTGCATCTGGTCAGGGGAAGGCTCAGACCACCTGCACCCATCCAGGCAGGAAGTCCTGGGGTGCTGCACACTGACACCCAGCCAGTGTGCCTGGTGTCTGACAACGCTGCAGACCTACAGCATGGCCTGTCTGAACCGCGGGGCGGTGAGCCATACGTGACTGTTGTATTTGAGAGGTGCACTGAACAGCAGAACTGCGGTCTGGAACTCCCCAGTTCCAATGGAAATGACGGATACCTCAATACCAATATTCCTGTAACTGATGGCAACAGACCCAAGAAGAATAATTTTAATATCAACCAGGAATGAGACCCATAGCTGTTGGAGAACTGGAGCAGGATTCTTCTCCACACTTAGCCCATTTGTGCAAACTATCTCATTTGATAATCTCAGAATCATTTTCTGCAAGTATTTTTCCAGATGCAAATCCTTCAATTTAACTTTCCAGGAACAGCATAAAAAAAAAAAGAAAAAAGAATCACCTGCTCAAATCAAGCCTCTTTCTCTTTCTCAGTTAGTCATTGCTATTTACAAGAGTTAAATTTTTTTCTAAGAATACAAGTGAATGTAATTTATCTCTTTGTACATAGCTCCCAGGACAACCAGGTTTGTTATGTAACTGCATTTATGAAATACGGGAACCTAAGATAAAAGTCTCTGTCTTGTCCAGGTTAATGGCAGAATTCTTCTGTATTTTGTTGGGCCAGTTCTTAGAGAAGGGATTATTTCCTTGTTACAAATAAAGAACCATCTGATTCAGACTCATACTTGACTCAGAACATAAGTTATATGGACCACAAGATGCTATTTTAAGGAATTACTGCTGAAAGAATAATAATTAAAAAACATCGAATATCCCCTTTTTTTTTTTGCAAAATATGTAATGAAGTAAAAGACAACCAGAGAAATAATCCCTTAGAAAACACCCAAACATTAATAATATTTCTAAGCATCTATTTTTTCACAGTACTTGGATTAACTACATGTTTAATTTACCACTTTGTGGACCTTCATATCCACACACAACAGTACCATGAGTGACAGTGACCATAAACTACTTCAGAGTAGTATATGTGGAAATTATATGGTAGTTTCATTGCCATTACAAACAAATGACACCTAGATAAGATGCTTGTCACCCACTGTGCTTTATGCTTCATGAATTTTATGCAGTCAGCCACATCAACTGGATACATAAGCAGAAGCATACAGACACAAGAGCCTGTCTGCACTATAAGAAAGCACTAGCTTTCAGTAAAATAGTTAATTTAAAATACATAGAGCTTTGCTGAAAGATTTTTCCATGTCTACATGTAGTTGTTAAGGAGAGAATCTTCACACCACACTTTTAATCACACTTTTATAGCTTCTACCAAGTGGTAGCCAGGGTGGCTTCTGCAGAGAAGTTGTAGAACTTCTAGTTAGTTGTAGAACTCCAATGGTATTTTGTACCAATGGGGCCCATTTTCATATTTAATTCCAATGAAGTTAGTGCAGAAAACCTTTAAAACTGGCTACAATCTGAACCATGATCCTATTCAAATGCTACTAGAAATCCCTTCCAAAAACTGTGTTCAACATTTATTCCATTCAGAGATGATGGTGGCACAGAGGGTTGGTTATTTAATCTGAAGTTGCATTCTTATCTTACTTGCTGTGTTGCCAAGCTGGTGTCCTGAAAGTGCTAAGCTAGAACAGGATCTTTATCATAATGCCAATTTTTCTACTAATTATTAGTTTCTACTTCATAAGGATTATGCAGACAGCAGTATCAACTGAGTGAACATAGGCATACAGGCAGGTGGAACAGGCTTCAACACCAACCAGCTCGCTGTAAAACTTGGGCAGTGCGGGGGACCAGATCCCTAGTGAAGTCATTCAGAACATTGGCTGAAAAAAACAGAAACAGGCTTCTAGGCGTGCAGTGTTGAGAAGAGTTCATGATTCCACACTGAAATAATTATGAACAATGAGAAGCACTTTATGCTGGGGAGCTTTCTGAGACTGTAAAATAGGAACTTTGCAAAAAGTGTGTGCATTTCTGGCAGCACTGAGCCTGGACAATTCACTGACATCCAGTCACTGGGTTAGAGCAGCTTTTGACTGTTTTCTCAGCATTCCAGTTGAAGATTGAATTCCTACTGTACAGGATAAGGGACTAAGCTTCTCCCTCCATCCCACTCCTCTTTTTCTTTACCAGCCAGCAGAGCCTGTTGTCTTGTAATCAAAGAGCACATCAGCATCCAAGTGTCCATGAACAGTTTACCCCAGCAGTAGAAAGGTGCCTTGGTAAGTATAAACATCATTCACAGACAGCCTTCACAGAAAGCACCACACAACTGAAATCTGTCCTATTGCCTCTGGATCTGAGGTGCCATGGGCACAGTTATTGAGCCATTTGAAAAATGAACTGCCCAACAGATACAAGGCAGCAGGAGCCATGAGGTGTCTCACTCTGAAGGAGAAAAAGTTACTTTTAATACCTTCCAAGATAAATATGTGATAGGGACAAACAGACATGTGAAAGAAATGAGACACATTTTAAGACAGTACAGAAAGACAGATACCAGTCCTTAATGGTGTACATAAAGTTCTTCCTATAAGCTGTTGATGCCAGTTACTCTCTACTCTCTACCTGCCCTCAGTGGGGCAGCAGCCTCTGCTCTGCTGATGCCCTGAGTGCACTAGAGTGCTCTTAGAGCTCTGAAGGTCAGGTAGGAGTTTCCCTTCCTTTTCCAGTGTGGGAGTTGTTAACGCCATGATGGCATGAAGTAAAACAAAATTTAAAAAAAAAACCCAAAAAAACCAAAAAAGTAGTGTGCTAAACAGAGATCGGACTCTGGTCTGGTTTCTTGACTTGAAATGTCAGATCAGAGAACCTGGGCATCGCAGTATTTTGTAAGCGGCAGCATACACAGCCCTTCCTTTAGCTCACTCCTGTGTCCGATTCTGCTTACTTGGGAAAGGATTGCCTGTTTTGAGCACTGTCATCAGAAACGAAAGCATTTGGTGACTCCTCTGGACTAGACTGTACTGTGGAGTCAGCTGTGTATTTTGGGACACACATTTCAGCTGAGGTCAGAATTTGGGTTACGAATTTGCTTTAGGTTGCTGCTCTGTCAGCAGAGGGCACCACAGCTATGTCTATACACCCACCTTTCCATCGCGTACACCCCGGGGAACGAATGTTAAAGAGACGGGCAGCACTATCGTTAAGACAGGTAAGGATTCTGCACCAGTGAAGGATCTTGAATAGAGGGACAAGCTTTTGCTCTCAATGTGAGAAGCTCACTCTAAAAAGCACAAAGAAGTAAGAGATGTTGCTTGTTGTATGGTTAAGATCAAATACTGATTCTGCATGTAGCTAGGACTTAGGACAACATATGAGTAGCAGACATTGCAACTCCTAGTATCCTTCATTTATTTCATTAACATCTCACTTTTTTCGTCATGATATCACATAATATTGATATTCCTAATATGATTTTTTGTACTGCTTACTCTACCATTGTTTTCTGTCAAGTCCTTACTTCCTAATCATACACTGTTACATACAAAGACATATAACAGGAAAAACAGTAAAGGAGAAGGGGATGAGTGAGAAACAAACAGTGCAGAGCAGGGAAAAACAGACAAGAAAAAATGTGCTGAGCCTTTTGTTACACAGATGTGAGCGTGGCATTGCCACTGTGAGCACAATACACATATAAAACAATGCTGAAACAGGTCACAGGAATGCACTGAAACTTCATGAACTCTTAATTGCACAAAAGACTTGGACAAACAAATGATGATTATCTGAAATAATTTCTTAACATTCATTCCAGTCCTCTCATTTTTAAAAAAGCAGCCAAACTACAGACTATCATCTACTGCTACAGAAAGATGAATGTTAGTTGCTTTCTCCTTTCTTGTTTTTTTGTTTTTTTTCTTTTTTTCCTCTAGGTTTGGACCTTCTCCTTCTCTCAGTATCTCAGAAAAAGGATGTTGCATTTTCACTCCTCGAGTTTCTTTAGACATGTACACTTCCAGCAATACTGAAAAATTTTCATGTAAGTTTCCTGCAGCTCCACTGTATTTAAATTGTGTTTCTCCTACCTAGTTTCAAGATTTATAACAGCAAATGTGAACTGCCCCAGCTTTATACAACAGCTGGAGATCTCTTCCAGCAATAACTATATGTAGCTGTGAAGGTCCTTACACTCCAAGGAATAGTGAAAGCCTATAAAGTATATATTCACTTAGCAATTAGGCTGCCACTTTATAACTACTTCTATTTTCTGTATGAAATACTATGCATAAGCAAATCAGCCTTTTTATTCTGGCATGAAAAGGCAAACTCATAACAGCATCTGAAAGCCATTGGTACTGTTGATATTGCTGCATTAGAAAAAATGGTGTGTTCGCATAGCTGTATGATGTCACTGCATGCTGCGTTGCTATTACAGAAGAAAGATTATCCCCATTCTGGTCTTTGCATGAGAATGCAATGAAAATCTGCACCAGTTACAAAATGGTCAGGCATCATGGCTTCAGTGCCAGAGACAGAGTTTCTGGAACCTGAAGAGTTTTGCAAGATGTCAAAAACCCACCATTAACATCCTGCTGATTGCCTTTTCAGACCTGTGATGCAGATGATCGAAACACTGATTAATCCCCTGGCTTTGCTGAAATCACATCATATAAATCCAGTTACATGAAGAGGCATACAAGCCCTTCCCTGCTCGTGACTCATTGCTTGGTGTATGCTTTCCACTCAGGCGTTTCAGCAGGTTATCAGAAAAATCCTGTACCAGGGTGTGTGGGGGGGTGGTGCCCCCACAAAGTTAACATTAGCATTCCCCTTAGAAGAGGAGAGCTTTAGGAGCCGAGCACACTGTGTGTCTGTGTATACTACTACAGAGAACGAGAAGTCAGCGGGCATGTACCGTAGGCAGAGGAGGAGCAGTAACTTTCACCGTCGCCGTGCGTACGTAGCGTGTCCAGCGCTGAGCAGCGAGGATGTTCTGCAGCAGAGAAGCCCTCGGTGCACCTGGACCCAGCCCTTCAGGTGTAACTGCACTGTCCAGCAGCAGCCACTCTTCACCTCTGAGGTTCACCCTTTGTATCCTTCTCTTTCTCTTTCTTTCACTCTTTTAAAATTGAGGAAGAGGAAATTTACAGATCCATGGGTTCTTCCCACTGAAGTTTTCCACCGTGGGGATTTTTTTTTTCTCTTTTGTTTTGACATATGTATCATTTCTTTAATAAATATATATGTTTTGTTTTGTTTTTTTTCTTTTTGTTGAGAAACATCACTTTCCACTAGATGGAGACAGGGCACTGGATCACTTTGTCCTCCAGAAGGACACTGACAATCAGGAACACAAAATATAGCCCAAACATGAGGAAACCCAGGATTTTATTCATCCTCCACTTGCAGGAAGCAATGGAGAGGATGACAAAGAGCAGCATGATGAAGAGGAGGACAATTGCACAGAACAGACCATTGCTGCTGACTGTCACCGGGGCAAAGCCATTAACCACAGCATACAGGAGCCATGGAAGAGGAAGGCTGTCAAGAAACAGAAAAATTAAATTAAAACATTGCAGAAGTCCAGAAGGGAGCACTAGGAAGTTTCTGGCAACAGTTCAAAACACAGCCAAAGGCTTCCTGCATAAAGTGAGGCAGGAAGAGTTTCAACTCTTCTAATAATTGCATAAATACAGATTGTAAGCTTTCTCATGGTTTTTGGGGAGAACACATGGGCTCCCTTCCACCGGTTATAGTGGTGAGTTATATTTCCCTTGGTTGGCAAATCACCTGGCATCCTGTCTGTGAAGAGGAAAACCCCTTTCATTTGTTACTAGATTTCACACCATCTGCAGAAGAAGCTATTTGCACTCTTTCCAAGAGCCTGCCTGACAGGAGGGTGGGTTGCATAGAAACATGTCCTTGCCATGAAGAACCAGCACTCTGCAAGGCACTGCCTGCAAAATTTCACCCTTAAATATCTTTGTCCACATTTACTGTATAAACCTCTGTTAAACTGTGAACTTCATTTGAACTTCAGCTTAACTTCTATTTCTGTGTTTGCTGTCATTGCATTTCTCATCTCTCACGCCAGAGAAGGAGACAATATCCCTCTGCAGGATGTCAAGCTGAAATAAATATTTAAGACACTGATTGGAGCTTAGCAGGCTTAGAAAGCATGAAGTAAGTTGTCAGAAGCTCACAACATTAAAACTTTGAATAAGCAGCTTAAGAGAGAATAATTTATTACAGCTGCAGTACTAACTACACCACTCCACTGTGCCATTTCTGTTGTAAATGTAGCAGACTGGTACAGGACAAAGCCATTTCCATCAGCAGGAAGATTAAACATTTTTTAAAAAGTAAGCAAAAGAGAAATAACTTTGAGATGCATCCTCTGCACTCCAAGCTGGAGGACATGATTTTCATGTATTTTATAGGTTTGCTGCCTATCAGTACTTCAAAGACTTAATGCTTCTGGATTAATAGAAAAGTGGCCAAGTTTTCCCTTGTCTAAAGTACTGCCATTAGTTAACAGATAAAGTAAAAAATATATTTATTATACATTCTAACTTTAGGATCCTTTTCTGTACCTCTGTGCAGTTGCTGGTGTATTTTCAACTGTGAAAACCAGGATCTCTTCTACAACCAGGCTGTCTGGCACTGTAACTATGACTAGACCTGTCTTCTTCTGTGTGATAGCAAGAGACAACCAAAGATGGAGAAATCGAAATACGCACATGACTCTCAGTACCTCCATCCTGTGTTGAAGATGGGACTATGGCAACAAAGACAGAATTTATCTGTGTATTTTCTGCACATTTTTGAAACACTGAGGCATAGATTATACCATTCCTGAACCTGATTTACTGTGGTCTCAAAAAATCAAAAAATAATTTGAATTGTAACATTATGCCACAAATCATTACCCTAGAGCTGCCATGAAGCAGTGAGGTGAAAATAGAAAACTTCTGCACCATGTCATGCAGCTTCACATTGTCAGAGCTATAAAAAGGGTCCTTTTTGTTAACAGAGAATTGGTTTGTAATTTGGAACTTGTCAGGTATAGAAAAAAAAATTAATCGCATGTCAACAGCAGCCTAAACAAGTTACACAAGACAAAGACTTTCTGTTGTTATTACAGCAAACATTATTACTGCAGAGGCAATGAATTGTTCCTGATCACCATTTATAAAGAAAGTTCTAATATAAGCACAATGAGTGGTAGCAGAAAGCAAACAGCAACCGCACAAAAGTATAAAAAGCTTTGAAATTCCTTTTCGGAACAATGCCCTTGCACAATTTTAATGTGCATTTCACTTGCCTAAGCCTCTCTGTAAAATATCAAAGCAAGGATTAGGCAACAAATTTATAACATTTCTTCATGCAGATATCTATAAACTTTGGAGCACTTGACACAGTAATATTTGTTGCATTTTTGCATCACTTTCCTTTTTAAAGATTCCTGCTTGTGGGCAATACCACAGCAATGTGCTAAGAACAAAAGACTTGTTTAAAATAGACACAATTTTCTTGGTGTAGAACTTACCCCACTGTGATGTCAAATATGTTGCTTCCAACAGAACTGGATACAGCCATGTCCCCCAGACCTTTGCGTGCTACAATAACACTGGTAATAAGGTCAGGAATGGATGTGCCAGCAGCTAGAATAGTCAGCCCCATGATTTCTTCAGTGATACCAATGGTCTCTCCAACCTAGAAGGGTTTAAACAAAACCAGAAAAACATGTCCTGCAGTGAAGAAGTATTTTCAGCTGTCCTGGACTTTCCCACTAGCTTGGAGAATACTAGACAAGATCAGAGAAATACTATTTTTCACGGATTTCCCCATGTATCAGGAGAAAGATAACGCTTTCAAATAGAAGCATAAGGTATTGACAGGCAGTTGCTGATGGTTTTGATGTTACAAGAAGATCAAGTCCTGTGGTCAGACCAACCACAGCTCTCTGAACTACTTCCAATTTAGTGAGTACTGATTTGCTTCATCCATGGTTACAGCTCCCAAAATAAAGCAGCACCCAGCACGAGATAGATGGACTCTGATTAGAAATGATCTTTTACTGTGCAAAACATAATGCAGGGCTTTTATTTTGTACCAGTATCACCTCCTTACCTGATGTGCCCACCAGACCATCAAGTAAGAAAAGAAGGCAATCCAGCTGATAGAGCCAAAAAACGTGATAGGAAAAAATTTTCTTGATGTCTGAAACAGAAGCAAGGAGAAACAAGTGAAAACCTATATTGAAGGGTGACATGCCATATTCTTAATTGTTTCTCAATATGAGAGTGGCTTCTCATTTTTTCTTGATGGCCTGTTCTAAGCAACTGTTCTGATAATCATCAGATGATCAAAATACTTGTAAGAAAAGTAAGAAACAGATGCCCTGACACTGGTACTATACTTAACCTATGCCTCACTCTTCCAATTGCTTCAGTCATAAAACAGGATCTCCTAAGATCTTGTATGATGAATGGCAAGGTCTGTGTTGTGATTTTTATCATAATTTGTTACGATGCAGTTTGCATATGTGTTTATCTCAATAGTGGTTTGACTTCTAAATTTATTAATATTTTCATGCTTCCTCAGAATGAATGTTTTCAAATTGCTTCAACAGCTGCCCATATCTTTCTTTCCTACATTAGTAATTTTTTGCAACAAATTTCACAGTCAGTATAACAAAGACTGCCATATGGCAGAGCTAAAAACATGCACACGTAAAATTTATTTCGTCATTTACTCTGCTTGTGAAAATGACTCACTTTCTCAATAGAAGGTATGTTAAGCACATACTTTCCATGCTTCATTTTGCAGAGGAATTTAATGTTATAATGTTATAAAAATATGCAAAACATACCATCAGGCCCTTCAATGAATTAAATACTCTGTGTAGCACCAAAGCGACTTAATTTTTCATTTTCACTGTCTCCTTTACTAGTGTCATATTTTGAACAGAGTGTTCTTGCAGCCAATGAGTGGGTTATATTCAGATTAATGATTTTTTTTTTTTGTTTATGTTCTTTCCAACGTTCTGCATTTTCCATATTTCCTACTGACTAACTGAATCTATGTAACAAAAAGAGGTCAAGTTAACTACTAAAGGAAGGAAACAAAACTGCAGTACTGCACCAGGCAAACACTCTAAATCAAATCAGTACTTAAAATTAAATTTGTCCTGTGAATGAATTCTACCAATCTTCATGTTCATTGCCCCTCTGAATGCAGATGTTGCCCCAGATGATTTCTGACATGTGACTAGCAGAGTCCTACAAATCTGCATGAATAACCAGTAGGGCTGCCTGTGGAAGTGAGTTATACCAGTCTGAATGCCTCTTTCAGCTGCAGCTAAGTCCTGCAGTACTTCTTCCCATTCGGTCCTCACTAAATCCACTTCCACTCCAGAATTTTTGTGCCCACTTTCATTTCAGGTCATGCCCCAGCTGCACCAGGAGGCTCATAAGACTGTGGATCATTCCTAGATGTTGTGGGAGTAGATGGGATTGCAGGACTTTATCTCAATGTGACTTTTGGAGAGAAAATACCACTTTTTCTGATTCAGTTTCTTCAAGGCATAATAAACACTTTGCTTTTAGGGAGTTTACTAGCTGCACAGCCAGCTTTTCTTATATAACAAATCCAACAGGCATTTGTATGAAACAGCTCACCTTTAGGAACTGATCAGCATGGAACAGTGTGGCTGTAGACCAAGAGATGATGTATTGGGCTGGCCATTAGAGCTGGTCAAACAGGAATGTCACTCTGTTTTGCCAGCTGAACCTGAAAACAATGCAGCTTGTCTGTAGCTCAATGAGACTGTGTAGACTTTCTGCTGATGTAACTGGAATGAGCTCGGGCCATTAACTTATGTAAAAAGGGTGAAGTCAGCAATGGCAATTGTGCACAATCATCTACAGCATGGGACAAATACAAGGTTCATATCTGCTCCAGCAGCAGGTGCAGCTGCTGGCTGTGCTACACAGCACTTTCTCACTCCCTGTGTGTACTTTGCATAATGCTAAATGTCCTCCTGAAAACTGAGCATGTTCACTAGCACGACCTATACAATTTCACAACTGGATATACACAGGAACACACATTAAAAATGATACAGATTTAACAACACTATTAGAGGGATGAAAACCTATTCTGTGAGGAAAAGCTAAGAGAATTTGGATTGTACAGCCTGGAGAATAGAAGGCTTTGGGTTGACCTAATTTCAGCCTTCCAGTACCTGAAGGGAGCCTCTAAAAAATATGGAGAGAGACTCTTTACAAGAGCATGTAGTGACAAGGACAAGAAGACTGAAAGAAAGTAGGGTTAGACTGGACATTAGGAAGAAGTCTTTAGTATGAGGATAGTGAGGCACTGGCACAGGCTGTCCAGAGAGGTTGTGAATGCCCCATCCCTGGCAGTGTCCAAGGCCAGGCTGGACCGGGCTCTGAGCAGCCTGGCCTAGTGAAAGGTGTCCCTGCCCATGCCATGGGGTTTGGAACTAGATGATCTCTAAGGTTCTCATCCAACCCAAACTATTTTATGAATCTGTGATTCTAAATTCCTTCATAATATAATAACTCCACCTCTGCTGAAGTAAAAGAAGTGGTCCAATAGGGGTTTTAAACAGATTACCCTTAAATTACCACCATGGCACCTGGAAACATCCTTTTCATATAAATTCCACTGCTGTCACAAGCACTGTTTTTAGAGCTACTGAGAGTACTTTGGTTAATCTATTTCTTAATTGCCTCTCAACTCATTACAGAGTTATTTTTTCAAAACAGAGTTCTAAATTTCTGTCAAACCAGAAAATATGACAATGAGCTTATGATATTTAAAACCTACTCAGATGGACTTTAAAGTTTAAAATCAAAATCTTACATGCAATGGAGGGTAGAAGACCTTAATGTGAAAAGGAACAAAATTTGAAAGAAATATATCTATGTTACAACTATCTGACACCAGTGGGAGCAGAATTAAGTCTGGTAGAAATAAATGAGTGAAAATAACCGTTTCCTCTTTTAAAACTAACCAGCAGCTAGCAGGTTTTTCCCCACCATTCTTAGTAGTCAACTTTTCCAACTTTCAACATTTTTCATCTTCCTTGTAAAAGCTGTGATCTTTTGGCAAGACATATGGTTCATGAGAAAATGAAGTAATAAACTTGTTTGAACTGGTCACAAAACTTGCAAAGAACACCTTGCAGCAATGCAATTTGAATGATCACCACACAATACTCAAGATTTAAGCATACACTGGCTTAAGCAAAACTAATAGAACCAGAGCCATACTGGTCAGTAATACCTCTCTGATGGTGTGATTATATACACCAAATGGTTCTGGCAAAACAAGGAGACACTGCCTATCTGAGTCAGACACCCACAGAATTTGGATGGCTAAGAATTACGAGTCAGTAACTTTGCAGCATGTGTACTCTTCGCCTGTCTTAGCTAATCCTCTCCCACTAAAATTAACTGATAAGCAGCAGTCCAAGATACTTTAATAAGCTTAACACTTAAATTACCTATTTTAAAATGGGGAACATTTAAATTCAGAAAGGGCAAAATTTAAAGCTTGTACATTTTACAAGCGATGAAATCAAAAATGGACTCCATAGATGCTGCTATATAATTTGCATATAGATGAAAATTTTAAAAAGCCATAACAAGAATGCTGATAATTTTTTTGTATGCTAGATTTTATTCCAGGGTGTAACAATAATAATCATGCTAGTTTTATAACTAGTTTCAGCATTCTTTTGAGATTTATGTAATTTCTACTCCCTAGCTCTTTGGAATACAGAGAGCTGCCAATTCTAAGCATTTTCCTAGAAGACTTAGTCAGAGACAGCAGACAGCAATACTTCTCTCCATCTTTTTCAGTAGTTGTTGTGGTGGTTGCCTTGTAAAGACAGAGTGCAGAGTTTATTAGCAATTGGCTCTTTTGTGGTCCTAGTAACAGATAAATGAGAGAATCACGGCTCATTCAGTTCATATCCTATTTTCCTTTAACAAAAGCAAAAGGATTTTGTAGTTCCACTGTAGATTAGATGTATTAGTACTGTTCCTGTCTATCAGAAATGTTTAGAACATTTTTCTTTATACATTTCTATAAATTTATATATGCCAATGTCTGAAAAACAGGGCTATAAGTAGAAAAAATAATCCAGGTATGAAGGCTTTTCTTCTAAGAGATTGATCCTGGAAACTAGTGTGTGCTGAATAATTTGGAAGGTAACTTTTAATTTTAGCCAGCATTATTACCAACATCTTTAACCTGAATGATTCACATGTTTGTCTCGTACATAAATGTATCTGCATTGCAAAGTTTGATCCTTCTTTCACACTTAACAGTGCTTAACTCTGATTACTCAGAACCTGCTCCTCTAACTGAATCTGTACAGGAACATGTTGTCCTTGTCCCCTTGGTAACAGTGCATCTCTGTATGGCAACAAGAGTTCATGGAAGTTGTAGCTCTTTGTTTGTAATGGGAATTTGCAGAGATAGAAGGAACTCCCCCATGGGTCCATATGGGGGAGGCAGGACTAGAGCCCCAAGATCCATTTTTCTGGCATGTAATGCAAAGGGATGGACAGTGGAGTAAGATTATAATAAAGGAGGTGGTGTTCAATAACTGCTCCTGACCTACTGGGGCACCTTGGTCACATAACTTTTCTTTCAGTCTTTCAATATCTGTTACTCCAGGTGGGCAGTTACACATGTGACCTCAAAAGAGCCACTGGGGAAACAGCCATTAGTACAGGAAAAACACCCATTAATGCTCAAAACACCTGAGCAAAAACCTCAGGAAAAAAAATTCACCAAGGGCACACCTACCTCTGAGATATGCAAACAACATTATTGATGTTATAGTAAGGATTTAATATATACTGGCTTAATGTGAGCAGGTGTTAAGGCGCTAAACACATTAAAACATCTCAGCTAGTCAATCAGCTGACAGTTAGCTGAACTAATGCATAATCTACTCTAAGTATATAAAAATCTGCATATGTGTGCACCAGACCATAATAAGGCAGCAGGATTTTGCTAACTTTAGAACCAGAGACCTTGTCTACGAAATAATTTTTTCTAGGGCTTCTGGGTTTTATGGCGCTAAATGTATCTCAGAATAGTACAAATAAATGCAGGGAAACCATCTTCTTTGTGTGGAGATAAAAAATACTTTAGAAAAAAAGACTCTAGATGGAAAGAACAACTTATTGAAAAGTGGACACCCACAGAGGATGCCAAAGGCTCCATATGGTCTTTCAAATCAGTATACAGCACACAAGCATTCACTTTATATATGCATATGCTAATCTGAGCATCCTGATGCAGAATTTGGGTTTCTGACTAAAAATTACCACACTTGCAAATCGAGCCCCTGATGGCAGGCCTATATAAAAAGTCTGAGTATTATTTTAGGTTTGCTTTAACTTTTATCTCATAGATTTCATTGAAAATTGTTTTCTGATGCACATGCTGGGCTGTGATAGCAGGCATCATTTTTTGTTAGGAAGGGATTAGTGGGGATGGCACACAGAAATAAGTGAGAATATTGTGAAGATACAGTAATGAAGCATACTTAAAATGCTAGACAGTTTATGCAACCATCTGGTTAATTCTTTGACAGCAATGCTCAAAGTAAGTAGCTTGTTATACTGATACAGCCCATTACCTCTTCTGTTAATCCACATGTAATTACAAACAACTTTTTTTTTTTTTTTCTGTAGAAAAAACTACTCCTTTCAGTGAATGGAGTCTTAAAACTCTGTTGTCCAGTTGTCTACCTGGCACATACAAGTATGTTTATCTTTTGTGGTATGGCAGGGTATTTTAGCTGCTGGATGTCAGCATGGAGTTCTGTTGTGAATGGTACTAGTGCTAATAATCACATGCATCACACAGTTGCAGGCAACTTGTCAAGATACTCACTTTCCAAAACTATTATTTACAAAACTGTTTTCATTTGTACAGTGCAGAATATTGGATAAAGCTAGAGGTCTTCTTATATTACCTTCAGATTTTCAAAATTCAAAATAATGCCCCAAAATATTTCTTGCTCATTTTAGATCAAAATATGAAAAAAATTTCAGGAATGAAATTTGCAAAAGGAGGGCAAAAATTCAGAAATAAGTGGTCCTGAAATTAATGTAGTATGTTCTGTGTGTTGTGAGACAAAAATGATTTCCAGAGTTGTCTGGAATTTTTAAGAAAAAGAAAGCTAGAAGATTGGGAAGGGAAAATGTGTTAGAAGGGAAAATCGTCACTTTATAGCCTCTGGAACCTTTTATCTAAAAAAAAGTCAGAGATCTTATTTTAGCTTCTTTCTTGCACTGAGTTGCAGTTTTTCAGCATGTGGGATGGGAAGCTTTTTCACTGTCTGTGAGCAGGAAAAAAGAATTCAGGGTGTTGATTTATAAACTTACATGCTGTACATGTATCTCTTGCAGCAGTTTTAAACCCATTTTGATCCAGAAAGGAACAGAGATTAAAACACCACTAATTTATTTTTTTTTCTTCAGCTCTTGACACTCTTTTACTTTCCATGAGCTTTCCCAGTCAGGTCTATTTGTATAAAAGTGGTAAGACTTGGTAACTTGTCAGTCTTACATTACTTCAAGCTGTCTTTAGAACAAAACTATCAAGTATTTTATATACAAAAGGACCTATGGATTCTCATCCTAGTATGAAAATGACAAGATTACGGGTAGAAGAGAAAGGTCTAATAGAACTTCTATTTAAGAGAAATGCATATCTTTATGTCTGAACTACAGAAAAATTTTAGACAGTCTAAAATCCTTCCAGTCATACCCTTTAGAGCACAGCAGATACTCAGCACTCATATGTTCAGCAGAGATTCAGAAATACAAATGTGAAGACTCCAAAGAATTTTTCAGACCATCCACTTTATGTCATGAAGTATAAGTGAATACAAATCATAATTTTTATAGAGCTATTACCAACCAGTTGCTCATAAGCACTGATTTGAAGATTTGAATACTAATGTTGCAACCTCTTCAAAGAAGAAACAATTAAAAAGCTAATAGCTCTAGTTCATTTTTGGCATTTAACTAGAGTACCACCCTTTTTTGCAGAACACATTGACTTACAACAGTTACTTACAGGTTTTCTGACGTCTGGCAGGGTAGCCCACAGTGGGAAAACAATGGGTAACACAAGAAGATAGGTGACCTGTTTGCGTGGGGTTTCAGGCCAGGCCAGGCTGAGAGGCTGCTCCTCCTCCTCATCTTCATTCTGTAAGAAAAGCTCCAGTGAGCAGATTATCAATGTGGATGAATGAAGATAGGAATTATTTCAAAAAGAGTTCAAGGACAGCATTGTCTTTCAGGGAGAACTATGGTGTCTGAAAACATTGCATTTACACCACACCTACCTAGCAATGTTAGCTAGGACACACTAAAAAAGACTTTGGCCGGACTGTGAGGTATCCCTACAGGATAGGATGTCCATTTGTTGACAGTGTGGCTGGTCCCTTGGGATGCACAGGGTGTCTCTGACAAGTGTTCCTTGGGATGGCTCTCCCTTGGGATGTGGGCTAGTCTAGTCAGGGGGTAAGATGTGTCTGAGATGTGTCTGGGCAGTGTCAAGCCTGGCCACACAGAGAAGACAGAGAAAATGTGTAGAAACACACACACACACACACACACACACACACACACGTATCTTTATGCCTATATGTATATATATATATATATATATGCCTTTATGCCTACTGTGTGTAGATGTATACATGTATCTAACTTCTTAAGCTTTTGTGAGTAATTTCAAACCTTGCTATTGAATATATATGCATATATATTTATATGTACTGTCTTCTCCACAGGGAGGGAGGGTAATTCAGGCACCTGGGGAGCTGTAGTGCTACGCTGCTGAGGTAAGACTGGGCTGCTCAGGGCTCTGCCCACTCAAACTGTGAAACCAGCAAGGGCAGAGATGGCCCAGCTTCTCCGGACCCCAAGACTGTTGTTGGGTTGTCCACACGAGGAAAGGGCTTCTCCTTGTCTCTATCCAAACTCTTGTGTACAGGCCAGTCACAACACAGGAGTGTTCCTAACAACTTGGTGCTGAAATTGAAGACACTCCTCTCCAATTTGCGTCGCTGATTTTCACATTGGTCCCTAGTCTCAATTTATGTGAAAGCTGCCCACCTGTCATCCCTATTATAGAGTAGGTGTGTAGGAACCCTCTCCGATGACAGAAAACATTTGGCTGCCACACACTTCTCTTTCCTTAGACTGCTTCTGCTAACAAAATGGAGCAAGTGTAGTGGGCATGACTCAGCCTTTTGCACTCATGAATCAAAATAACTTTTAAATTGTTAACATAGGTAGGTGATGTCTCCAGAACTGTATATAAATTGCAGAATCAGACAACTGAAAAAATGTCCTGAACAATACTTTCACGTAGATGTGTGTAATGCAAACACTGTTAAAACTGTGGAAAGATTTCTAGAGAGCTCAATGAAAGCTAAAAAAGTCTGAAAAAGAGCACCCAGTGAAAAATGTTTGACAGCGTGGGTGGTATATGATGACTTTTTCAGGTCGTGTTCTTGGGGTTTATTTTTGAAAAAAGGACAATAATTGAGATCTCTCCACAACATGCATGTTACTCTTCCTATAGATTTATAATTGGTTTCTTTTCAGTTATTGCCCTGTACTAAGGTTGCTTATATAAACCTTATGACAATGTTATTTGAAGCAATCATTGAAATGACCAAACTAGTTGTTCTTTTCTAAGCAGAAGAGTTATTGATGAAATGTCACTACATGTTGATACTGTTAATAACTTTTTTTACTTACTGCCAATTTTGAAGAACTGGTCTTGATTATTCCACTATTATGAACTTCTGAATTGTTCAACTACCTGAAATGATCAGTACCTACAGAAGCAAGCTCAGCTCTTAGCTTGGGATCTTTCACTATGAAGGTATCACCTGACATCTGTGGACTGGAAGCAAATTCCTATTTACCTCTTGACATGCTGACAAGTTGCAGCTACTTTTGAGTTACGTGTTGATGTCAACAGAGGACAATATTTTGCTATGCCCTATACTTTGTAAAACTCCCAAGTTGCACAACTCTATGACAACAGTAAAGTGAATAGGTCATAATGGTTATAATAATTTAAAGAAATTTAAAAATATATAAGCACAATTTTTAGCACTCAACGCAGTACTTCAGAGGCTCCTGAGCAGCTTAAGAGGCTAGCTTTTGCCTTTGGCTTTCAGCTTTTCACTGAAGTGGACATGCTATGCTTCATTGCTGGAAAACTACTGAAGCCAACTTTAGAGGAGCTGTGCTGGAGGAGAAGTTTGTGAGGCTACTTCCCAAAACCAAACCCATTCATTTTCCATTCTGGTAGATGCTTTTGGGGTGGGAAAATCAACCTGAGACACAGGCTCAGCTTTGAAATGTGATGACTGAGAAAAAATTGGAGCACAAAAGGACCAATTGAAGGGTTGCCTAGGTAACTCTTTCTGAATGGCCTATGTGTAATTCAATCAGCCAACTCAGCTGGAATAAAGCTTTCTAAGTGACTGCTGCATAAACAGCACTGAGTGGCAAAGTACTTCCTGAATTGCCATCTTTAGAGATTAGCCATGATTAACAATTATATTTAATCACAACAAAACTTTACATTACTCTGAGCTTGCATATGAGTCTTAAAAATATCTAGACAGTAATGCCTATGTTGGTTCATGCAACACTGTACCAGTACACCCTGCAGTTCAACACTGGGACCTGCCCTAGTCTCGTGTCTGTGTCAAACACCTCTGGGTGTGCATAAGCACAGAGGCAACACGAGTGGCTGTAGCAAAGAACCACAAAGAACTGCTTTTGTAGATTTCTAGATGTCTCCTGAGAAACCTTGACCTATCTGTTCAAGATCTTTCACCTTCAGTTGTCCTACATCATCCCTTTCCCCAAGACAACTATCCCCAAAACATAAGACCAAACACAAGCTCACAGTGCAGGAAATACACTTTTTCTTTCTAGCTTAACTCCAGGATACATTACAGATGTTGCAGAATGGATATTAATTTCCTATTTTTTTAATTAGATTTGGCATCTGATTTTCAATGCTGACCTTCCAAAATCAGTGGAAGTAATGAAGTTCAAAGTATTTGTAGATCTAGTTTCCATGAATTTCAAAGCAACACTAAATTATCCACTGATGTTGAAGAAAAGAATGGGAAATAATTTCAGCATCTCTAAAACCAGACAAATATGAGTGTCATGCTGTGGACTATGCAGCAGTGACAGAAGATGACTCAGCACAGATTTATGGCAGAGATTGCATGTGCTGTCTGTGGCTACAGCCACGTACATACTGAATATGCACTATCACAGTTTGTAGAAGATAATCCTGAAAATACAGCTTTGTTTCAGTCTGTACCATGAAAACTCCCTACTTGCAATATTCAGTATGATTACATTCTGCAGTGCTAAGAAGAAAACTAAACTATTACGTGATATATACCAGGAATTCAATTGCCAAAACATAAATGATTGTAACATTTTAGATACCTTCTGGTATCTGCCTTGACCCCCACATGCTCTAACAGAAGTAAAGAATATTCTGCTCACTTTATGACACACCTACCATCATTGTGCAAAGTTCTCCATTTCTTTAGGGCAGCTGAAGTGCTCCTACCTACCCATCTCCATTCTAAAACTCATTCCCTGCTATGACTCTGTAGCTAATTAACTTTAACAAATCTAGCCAGGACATATGGGAAAGCTGCATCACCTGATGTTATGAACTGTGATGATAATCCATTAGAAAGAAGTTGCCATATTAAGTCAGAACAAAAGCAAATTTACACCAGTACCTTGCAATCAGACATGGGCATTCAGAGACTAAGTATTTTAATGAATATGAATACCATATTCATAAAGAATATGGCGTATTTTTTCATATTCCACAAATTCATAGAATCACAGCAATATTTAGTCTGGAAAAGACACTTCAGATCATCAAGTCCAACCATGAACCTAACACTGCCATCTCCAGCACTAAACCATGTACCCAAGCACCACACCTACACATATTCTCACCTACACATATTCTAAATACTTCCATGGATGGTGACACAAGCACTTTTATGTTTGATAACTGGGCCAATGCTTGATAACCCTTCCCATGAAGCAAATTTTGTAATATCTGATTTAACCTTCTCTGACACATCTTGACGTCATTTCCTCTTGTCCTGTCACTTGCTAGTTGGGACAAGAAGCTGACCCCTACCTGGCTACACCCTCCTTGTAGAGGTACAAGGCAGTGGTAGAGAACAATAACGTCTCCCTTGAGCTTCCTTTTTTCCAGGCTGAAAAAAACCACTTCCCTCAGCTGCTTCCCACAGGACCTGTGCTCCAGACCCATCACCAGCTCCATTGTCCTTCTTCGATACTCTCCAGCAATTCAACCTCTTTTTTGTAGTGAGGGGCCCAAGAGTGAGCACGGGATTGGACGTGTGGCCTTACCAGTGCCAGGGGTACAGGGGGACAATGACTGCCCTGGTCCTGCTGGCCACACTATTACTAATATAAGCCAGAATGCCACTGGACCTCTTGGCCACACAGCTGGCTCGTGTTTTGTTGCTGTTGGCCAGAAGGGAATCACAGCATCATAGAATAGATGATGTGTGATGGCTGGAAGGGACCTCTGGAGATCTAGACTGAATTAACCCCAGGTCCTTTCCCACCATGAAGTTTTTCATCCACTCTTCCCCAGCCTGTAGCATGGAGTTGTTGTGACCCAAGGGCAGGCCCCAGCATGTGGCCTTACTGAACCTCATACCAATGGCCTCAGCCCATGGATCCAGCCTGTCTGTCCCCTCTGCAGAGCCTTCCTACCTTCCCGAAGATCAACACTCCAACCCAACTTGTGTCATCTGCAAAATGACAGGGGGTACTTGACCTCATCATCCAAATTATCAATAAAGATATTAAACAGGACTGGCCCCAATGCAGAGCCCTGGAGAACACCACCAGTGACTGACAGCTGGATTTACCTCCATTCACCACCACTCTCTGGGCCCTGCCATCCACTCAGTTTGTTACCCAGTGAACCACCCACACCCAGTCTACCCATCCACACCATGGAAAGCCAGTATCTCCAGAGGAATGATGTGGGAAATGGTGTCAAATGCTTTACTAAGGTCCAGGTAGACAAAATCTACAGCCTTTCCCTCATTTACTACACAAGTCAATTTGTCATAGGAGGAGATCAGG